TCAGCCATTCTCCCATGGAATCCCTAGCTGGAAACTACCCCTAGAAGACTAAGTAGCAAGGTCCCAATATAAAGTGGCAGCCATAGTGCAAACTCATGCTGCATTAACTTTTCACTGGCTTTCCCACTAGGTAGGAACAGTCTATGTGTGTCCTGTCACCCCTCCTGAGTGCCTAACATGAGGGCTCTCTGTGGGGTCCAGGCCCAGGAGAGGGGCAGGGCCATAGAGGAAGCTGACTGTCACTTCATATGAGATGAAGAAGATCTATAGAGAGGGGACCCTCCATACCTCTCCAACAGGGTGACACCCCATAGTTATATGGAGACAGTTGAAGTTCAACCAGAATTGGCCTCTCACTCAAGTAATTCAAAAGGAGAAGAGCTTGAATTTTCAAGCCATTGAAAATATTTTTGAACTGTAAAAGATTTTTGCTGCAATAATAAATAAGTGGGCGATGAATATGAAAATCTAATAGAAATCAAGAAAGGAGTGAAACAAATGTCACCAACTTTATTCAACATTTACAGCAAGTGTTTGATTAAATTAATTGAAGAAACCTTAGAAGGTATTAAGATAAAAGGAAAATAGATGAATCACATTCACTATGCAGATTGAAAAGAAGGTCTGATGAAGTTAGTGGAGATTTTATGTGAATATGGTAAAGAATATGGTCTTAAGTGAAATGTGGACAAGACAAAAATTATTGTGTTATTCAAGGTTCCTGGGAAAACATGCAAGATTCCAGCGAATGACACAGCCATTCAGTAAATGAGAAATTATTGCTACTTGTGGTGGGGTGGCTGCCCCACGCCCGGAGAGGGTGGGCGGCAGCAGGCCTGCACGCCTGCGTAGACGTGCAGCCAATCCGAGAAGGGCTTACTGGGAGCCAATCAGAGGACAGATTGGGGCCAGCCAATCAGGGCCCAGCTCAGCCATATAAAAGACTGCTCAGAGCGAGAGCAGTCAGTCTGTCCCAAGCCTTCCGAGGGGAAGGTCTGTCTCCAGAACTGGGAGGCCAGCACCACGGACAGCGCAGTGCAGGCCAGCTTTAGAGAGGGGGAGAAGGCCCTACTCCGTGGCCTGCCAGGTGGCAGGTCTGGAAGGAGAAGCCTAGCACAGAGAAGGGCCATTGGGGAAGCGGTCCAGAGGAGTAGTCAGAGGAGGAAGGAGAAGGAGGACAGCCAGACTGTCGCCAGAGGGCCTCTGGACCAGGACTCAGAGTAGTGTGCGGGCTTCAGTCCTCCCCCCCCCCTTTTTGTTCTATTGGGCCATACCCTCAGCCATAGGCCGCAGGGAGCGGCCGGCTGAAACTACACCAGATCCTTGACCGTGGGGATCGGACTTGAAGGTGTAAGACTGTGGGTCATCCAACCCCCCCCCCGGAAGGGGGTGTGAATGAACAAAGGAACACTGTTGGAGGACAGTGTTCCAGAAGAGGATGCTGTGCGTTGGGAGCAACGCGAGTCCGTACGCCAACTGAAGGCGAGACGACAGGCGGGACGTCACCAGAAGGGGGCGCTCTACTGGATCGAACCAATTCCCCGAGACGACCAGTAGGAGGCGCCACAGTGGTGAGTCCCAACCCTGTCACACTACTTAAGAAGCATTATTACAGAAGACGGAAGACTGGATAACGAAGACAGCACCAGAATAGCAAGAGTGAAAGAGACATTCTGGAAGAATAAAAATCTGATGAGAAGGGACATAAATTTGAAGGCTAAATTCTGATTCTTAAAAACTTACATCTGGTCTGCGTTAAAATTACTGCTGTGAAACATGGACATTCCAACAATTGATAATAAAGAAACTGCAATTCTTTAACTTATGGTGTTGGTAGAAGAATTCTGAAAATGGCATGGATAGTCAGAGTAGCCAATGAAAAATTTGGGGGGGGGATATTGATAATTGGAACTCAGCAAACACTTGTCAGAGATCTTACAAAAGGAAAGATTTGATTTGCAAGGTACATTTTAACAAATGGGTGATGCATGTTTATGAGCACCTGAAGGGAAAGTTGATAGCAGAAAAACATGAGGTAGAAAAAGAAGATCTTGGATGGACAATGTGGTATCCTGGGTGGATCAAAAGGAATATTCATCCATAAAGAGATTAGCAGAAGATCGTACAGAATGGGCTACCATGGTTGCAAACCTCCAGTAATAGAAATGTCAGATAAGAATAAGAATAAAAAAAAAGAGAGAGAAAGAATCAAAATAACAGACTCATGCAGATACTACAGTACTTATGCTGTGAAAAATATCACTTCCTCCCAAGGATTTCCAGTCAGATACTCTTTCTTTACTATTTTCAAACATTAAACTAAAAGGTAAATACATGTTTTCAGAATCTTTTCCTGCTCAAAGCAGTATGTTGCAATAAGCAGCTCTCCACAGAATTCCTCTCTTTCAGAAATATATCTTCTTACATTCTTTGCACTGGATACCATTGTTCATTAACAATCAAGGTGTCTAAGTAGACTTAAGCCCTCCTCCATCTAACTGTTTTGTCCCAAATTATTACGTGATCCTCTCACTTTAATATAAATTATAAACTTGGAAATCTTTCATCTAAACAAATCAGGAGATCAAACATGAAGCCTTGTTGTATCCTATTTGTACATCATCATCTTTCCCCAGTACAATTAGTCAGATAATATTTCCTTTCTTGTCTTAGAGTCACTTCTGAATAACCTTATCTGGTCATTTTAATGGTGCATGAATTTCACCTGAGTTAAGCCAGTTTGTTCTGCTCCAATTTACTGTAGGAACTCTTGCATGTATGCTGGCAGAAACTGGTGTAAATAATAATAAAAATAATCATTTACACTTACACAGTGATTTCCATCCAAAGATCTGAAAGTTATTCTCAACAGGGATAAGCACTGTAATGCCAGTTTTAGAGACAGAGAAGCTGAGGCATAAAGTTAAGTGACTTGCTCAAGGTCACTGAATAAATCTGTAGCGGAGACAGTAATGGACCCAGGTCTCCTAACCCAGTTTTGTGCTCTGCTCAACAGCCATTTTTGCCTCCCAAAGTGATCTTAATTTTCCATTGCGAAATGGAATAATTTCAAAAGGAAGACAGCTGGGGACTTGGAGAGTATTCCTTCTTTCAAGTAGAACAACTGTGGAACATGCAGTAAAGTGGACAGAAAAGTAACCGTTTCCTACCTCTTGAATACAGAGAGGGTTCACACCCTGATCTAAATTCTTCAGAGACAGTTCCTGGCAAAGCAGGAAGTTTAATATCTAATCCTGGAGCCATATAAATTGAAATGATTTTTTTTCTGTTATTGTTTAATGACCATTTCAAGACATAGGCTCCCTCTGCAAAGCCCTACTGACTTTCTGAAAATCAGACTCCTTTAAGGTATCTAATCCAAAATTAGAGGAGAATGTTTGAAAATCTGGATGGATAAACACAAAATGTTATTGCTGAGCCAGACAAACTTCAGACAACTTCTGGCCATTTCTGTTTCAAAGAAGCATTAATATTTGTTAAGTAAGACTGTGGATGTGTACCTTTATTCATTTGTCCATTAGAGGAATTCAGGGAGATGAAATTTGGATTAGTAAAAACAAACAGACAAATAAAAAACTAAAATTTTGCAAACTTTGAGCCACTATGAAATTCTGTCTCTTTACTCACTTCTGCTTTTTCAGACAAATAGTTTATTCACCAAAAAGTGCAGTTTTGGATTGACTGAAACTATTTGCAAATTTGATCTGATTGATTCTGGTTGGGAAAAACTTTTCCCAGGCCAGCAAACCATGTGTAAACATCTGTCCTCTTTATCACTTTGTAATGTTCTATCTGCCTGATTCAGAAGAGGTATTTGAATCCACATCTCCTACCTCCCAGGCGAGTGCATTAATTTCATCAGGCTCTAGAGTCATTCTTAGTCCTCTCTTTGGCAAGGTGGAAGAACTCCATCAGGAGAGATTGAGAGAAGCCCACCCAAAATAATCCATAGTATGGTGATTGGGCTGCTTATCTGGGACAGGGGAGATCTGAGTTCAAATCCTTACTGCAGAGTGGGGATTCAAACCTGGATTTCCACTTCCCAGTCATATGTTTTAGCCACTGGGCTAAAGGTAGACATGCTCACAGCCAGTTTGCTGGCCCAAAACAGACTTTCCCTGTTTGTTGACAAATTCCAAATATTTTTTGAACGGAACCAAATATTTTTTCTGATTTTTTGGTTTGCTGTCCCAACTGAAAAAAAAAATCAGTTAATTGCCCAGCTCTGCTCTGCATAGTATAAGAAATGCCATGGTAATATGAATTATTTAAAAACAATATTTTAATGGAAATCCCCTTGTATACCTATTATGTGGGCATTTTTCAGCTTCTGTTCTAGTCAAAACCAAAGCAAATCAACTGTTCCTATTTATGTGCTAGCCTTAATTTACAGTTCTCCATCTGTATGAACATTTCCTACTAAGCTTTCTCATCCTATGGCAGCATATATTAATGATCATTTTTACCAGTCCTATCTCCCATCTCATTCCAAAGTGTGTGTGCTCCACTAGCCAGTTTTGGTATGTCATTTCTCTCTTCAAATAGAACATCATCCTCTCACATTACTATACCTACTCCAGTTTTCCAGCTTCTTAGAGAGACTGTACTTTCAAAAGGCTTTATATGTTCTGGTAATTTAATATGCCAGTTAGTTTCCTGATTAGGACAAGTCTCAGTTATGCCAATTATATTATAATTCACCTTAAAGTCTTCACTATTATGCTCGCCACATCAGTATAGAATATATTAAGGAATACTGCACATTTGAGAACAATTTGCAGACCTCCCTTCTGATGGTATAAAAGTGTTATCTTTCAAGGTTTAAGTATATGAGAAATTAGAATATATTATTTCTGTAATAAGTGACTTTTGTACTGTGAGCAAAAGCACTTCTTCCATTCTTTTTAAAAGGATAGCATTTCCCCCCAGATAAGCAGGATCTCTCTCTTTTTCAGGGGAAAAAAAAACTGAATCTTTACCCTCCGCACATCTTTGCCAAATGTTTCACTATAGCTGGTGCCCAGTATTTCAAATTGGACATAGGGGTTGGAGCCGTCTTCTCTAAATTCCATAACGCCAGTGAGCCCAGTTATATGGCCCTAAGGAAACAATGTTAAAGATATTAGAATACAATTTTTATAAAGCACCTTTCATGCTCCAGGTATCCTAACATGCCTTGCAAATGCTTGCAATTAAATTACTGTGGCAGGCTTGATATGCTCTGCAATAGCTCACACATAGCCTTAGACAAAATATACTACCTTACTGAAAAAGAGACTGTTAGCCAAGACACATCTACCGCTCGTTTTGAAACATGCCTTGGGATCTTTAACTTATACAAGGACAGCCACCAGTAAAAAGCAGACAGAACCTTAGCTGAATCTGAAACTATAACACTTATAACATGATTGAGTTTGCCTAGATTCTGGTGTGCAACACAAAGCCACCACTTTCTGGCCCAGAAAAAATAGAGCTACCGAGTCAGGCTGACAACAATGTATTTTCAATGTTATTAAAACTTCAGTGAACAAAGCTCATGCCAGTTTAACAGTGGCGTAACTAAAAAATTATTTAACCTTGCTTTAAATTCTCAATGAAACAGTGGTGTCATTAGAGTTGGTTGGAACATTTTCACCAAAATGAAATTTAACCAACACATGATGTTTCAATGAACATTCTGTCAGAAAGTGGTGTGTGTCTGGGGCACAGTGAGAAAGAGTGCATATGAATTGGACTCAGGAGTTACTCCAGATTTACAGTAGTGTGAAATCAGAATCAAGATATTAGATTATACAATGCACCATTTTTCCTCTTGTTTCCTAAGAGCCAACCATGTTAGCAGCTTTGCTAAGGAATGTCTACTCTGGTCGACTCTGACAACTACTTAAGGTTTCATCTATTTGGTGAAATGCATAAAGCTATATGACTACTCATCATTATGTGACTTATACAAAACATAGCCATGACATCACCAGTTGTAGAGGACACACCTTCATGACCACACAGTTTCATTAATAACAACTTAAAATCAAGGTTAAATCATTTCTGAGAAGATCATCTGAAAGAAAAATCAGAGCACTTTGGTTCCTTTGTAGTTTTTATTGCACATTGGGCTTCCAACCTTGTCCACTCTTACCTTCTTAATAGTCTCCAACATGGATCGACCTCCATTCCAAGGTTTGGTGGATTTCCTCATGCAGTTCAAGCTTGCCATGCTGTGCCATTTCCTGTCCTCCAGCTTTCTATGGAAGGCATTGGCCAACATGAGCACGCTGTCATATAGATAGAGGTTAGAAACCTGCAAACAATGAAAAGAGTAAAACAGAGATTGTAGTCTTGAAGATCTCCTCAAAAGAAAAAAACCTTTAAAAATAAAACACAGGAGGACTTGTAAAGATTAATATGGAGCTTTTCACTTAAAGTGCACCAGTTCAAATACACTAGGTTGGTAAAAAGAACAGGAGTACTTGTGGCGCCTTAGAGACTACTTCATCGGATGTAGCCCATGAAAGCTTATGCTCAAATAAATTTGTTAGTCTCTAAGGTGCCACAAGTACTCCTGTTCTTTTTGCAGATACAGACTAACAAGGCTGCTACTCTGAAACCTAGGTTGGTAGTGATTATAGCCGCATCAGTAAAATAGTCACTCATTGGTACCTTGCCAGTCATTTTAGCAGGGAGACCAAGGAGTGAATGGAATTACCCTGTCATCTTCTATGCTCACTCTACCAGACCTCTCTGCAGCTTTTTATGCAGTAGAGCACAAGGTACTGTTAATAAACCTACCAGGCATAAATGGAGTAGATAGAGCAGCATTACTATGACTCCAATCATTTCTCTCTAGCATAACTCTGAGAGTGGTGATGGGTAACTGCTCCTGGTCCTCTTTCCTGAAGAGGAAGCTTGCAGGGTCCCGCAGGGTCCTTAATATCCTTCCTTTTTTATATGAGAGTATTTGAAGAGACAGTGAGATGACAGTGGTTCCACTACCAATCATATGCTGATAATAGCCAAATGAGTACATCATTCTCCACCGATATAACCATTACCACTACTAAGATGTCATAATGACTACAAGACATACAGCATACACCTTCTTGATGTACAGCAGCTGGCTCAAATTCAACCCAGGCAAGACTGAAGTGATACAGGTTGAAAAAATAGCTAGATACTGTGCCATGTCTTCCACTGAAAGTATACAGCCCCCATTCGTCAAAATTGTGCAAAGCCTCAGTGATCTTGTTTGATTCCTCGCTGAGCTGGGATGATCAGGTAGCATCAGCAATGAAAAGTGTCTTTCCCCTGCAGCTCATTAAGAAATATCACCCCTTTCTGCTGGATAAAGACCTGGCCACAAGATCCACGCATTTATCACCTCCAGATTTAATTTCTGTAATTCACTGTATCGGAAACATGGAAACAGTGAAATGCACACCATGCAGCTGCTCACTTCCTCCAAAGTTCAGGCCACTATGAGCACGGTGAACGCGGCTGGAGGACTCAAGAGGAGCACCGGGCAGCCGCGCAGCCGGCCGGAGAGAAGCGGCGCTTTGAAGGTGAAACCACAGCTTCTCTTCAGCTGCACGGCTGCCCCTGCTCCTCCTGAGTCCTCCGCCCATGTTCACAGGGCCGCACTCTGAAAGGGACTTTGGGGGGGATTGGATAGGGGGTGGGGCTCCAGGGGGACTGCCAGGGGGCAGGGGTGTTGATAGGGGTCGGGGCAGTCCGGGAGCAGGGGGGGTTGGATAAGGGGTGGGGTTCCAAGGGGGTGGTTAGGGGCAGGAGATCCCAGGAGGGGGTGGTCAGGAGACAAGAAGCAGGGGGGAGTTGGATGGGTTGGAGGTTCTGAGGGGGGCAGTCAGGGGGCGGGAAGTAGGACGAGGCGGATAGGGTTAGGGTTTGGGGAGGCACAGCCTTCCCTACCCGGCCCTCCATACAGTTTTGGAACCCTGATGTGGCCCTCAGGCCAAAAAGTTTGCCCACCCGTGGTCTAGATAATACTTAGCCCTGCCTTGAGTGCAGGAAACAGAAGTAGAAGACCTCATAAGAACTTAAGTATGGCCATACTGGGTCAGACCAAAGGTCCATCCAGCTCACTATCCTGGCTACCAATAGTGGCCAATGCCAGGTGCCCCAGAGGGAGTGAACCTAACAGGTAATGATCAAGTGATCTCTCTCCTGCCATCCATCTCCACCCTTTGACAAACAGATGCAAGGGACACCATTCCTTACCCATCCTGGCTAATAGCCATTAATGGACTTAACCTCCATGAATTTATCCAGTTCTCTTTTAAACCCTGTTATAGTCCTAGCCTTCACAACCTCCTCAGGCAAGGAGTTCCACAGGTTAACTGTGAGCTGTGTGAAGAAGAACTTCCTTTTATTTGTTTTAAACCTGCTGCCAATTAATTTCATTTGATGGCCCCCTACTTCTTATATTATGGGAACAAGTAAATAACTTTTCCTTATTCAGTTTCTACACACCACTCATGATTTTATATACCTCTATCATATCCGCCCTTAGTCTCCTCTTTTCCAAAATGAAAAGTCCTAATCTCTTTAATCTCTCCTCATATGGGACCCGTTCCAAACCCCTAATCATTTTAGTTGCCTGCCTCTGAACCTTTTCTAATGCCAGTATATCTTTTTTTGAGATGAGAAGACCACATCTGTATCTCTTGAGGTCCCTTCCAGTCCTACGATTCTATGATCTTCAAAGCAATAAATGGATCAGGTTCTCTAATATAGGAGGCCCCTGAAGAGATGAAACAATACAGAATCAGATCAGCTTGAAGAGGGCTGAAAACCTTCCTATTTGATAGAGCTATTTTGCCACAGCCAGAATAACACTAAACAAAATAATTTAAAATAAAAATGTTAAAATATAAGCAGATACTCCCTAAAAAGTGGATATACTTCTGATATGCCAATAGATGTTATTGCCTTCTCTAATTCCTATGAAGTACATATCTCTATATAAATGTTAATCTTAATTAGCCGTATATTTAATTAACATATTCTATCACTGCAGACAACATGGTATTTTCATAATGAACTAATATTTCCACAAAATCCAGGACTAAATCAAATGTGAATTAAACAGGCATAAAGCTGAACACTACCAAAAAGGCCTATCCATACATTTTAAAAAAGACATCTCTTAGGTGGTAAGGAAAAGAAAAATGCAAAAAGAGGGATGCCCATTTATAGAGTGAAGAGTAGGGCTGATTAATCATGAAAAGGGATTTTAATGTTGAAAACATACAGCACGTGAGAGATACTTTCTTAGGTAAAAAGCTCTTCCATTTTACACTATCACTAAATAAAATCTTTCCCTTCCCCAATAGCTACACATAGTTCATGTTCATTATTTTACCCTTCTACTACTGTCTGATTATCATGCTCCTTGAAATAGCTTACAAAAAATAGCCCCTTGCCAGATTTCTTCTTTTTTTTTCTTCAATAGCAAATGTTTAAAGAGTTAATGAGAATGGTCCCAGTGACACTGCCTTTGGTTTGGTTAAGTATCTGCTGCTTCTGCTCAGCTGTGTATCTCCTTATACTGTAGATGGTTATTTTATTTGTAAACTGTTTGGAAACTAAGCGAGTCCTGTTATTCAACAGGATGGTCTTCCTCTTCTGTTTTGAACTGGTTTCCACAAAAAAAGTACTGCTCATTTATAAATAGATTTCCCACGCATAAGGAAAAGTGCAATTTCTTACATGCCAAAGTGAGAGAGATCCTCTAAGTTCTCCATTGAAGTTCATTTTACACCCACACGTTGTACCTGACAACTCATTTTAAAGTCTCCTTGGAACAGCCACAGAGTGGAAATGTACTGTATTTCCTCAGTTCTGTACGGTTCTGCTCCAGCTGTGGAAAATCACTGCCTCGTTCTCAAAAATTGTTTTTCTAGTTCTAGTTAAGAGCTTGAGGGTAGAATTCATACTGTATCTGTCACATCTTCTATGTTCACTGTATTCCTTCTCTATGTATTGTACTATTTCGGAAGAATTCAAACTTATGTATAATGTTCTATGCACTTCAGAGAATTTTTATTTTGAAGATCCTTCCTACTAGACACCTTCCACTTGAAAGAAATGTGTATCTTCCTCTGCATAAGATTCTGAATTACAGCCCTGTCCATAGAAATGCCACCTTGTGTTGTCTTTTGGATCATCTCTCTCCCATTTCCCCACTTTAACTTGTGCTCCTTTCCCCACCCTCACTCCTCCCATCTATCCAGCTGTTGTATTTCATTTCAATTGAATTGTAACCATCTCTTGGTTACATGTTTGTACAGTGGCCAGCACAACAGGGCCCTATCCTCTGGGGGCTACCAAAATACAAACATTAAACAATAACAATTACAGATGTGTAATTTTATATCCCTCATGTGCCATGCACACCCCTAATCTCTATGGTCAAGACTCTATTTGGAGTCTGACAATGCTATGTCTAAATTAGCAATTATTACTAAGGCCATGTCTACACTACAGACTTATGTCAGCATAAATATGTCACTCAGGGGTTTGAAAAATCTACACCCTTGAGCAATGTAGTTATACTGATGTAACCCCTGGTGTAGGCAGTGCTATGTCGATGGGAGAGCCTCTCCAGTCAACAGAGCTATTGCCTCTTGTGGAGGTGCATTAACTACACCGACAAGAGAAGCACTTCCATCGGCATAGTAACGTCTTCAGTGAGCCCTGGTTTACACTACAGGGATAGGTCGAATTTAGCCGCGTTAGGTCGATTTTACAATGAATGCGTTCCGTCGACCTAAAGGGCTCTTAAAATCGATTTCTGTACTCCTCCCTGGCGAGGGAATAGCGCTAAAATCTACCTTGCTGGGTCAAATTTGGGGTAGGGCGGACGCAAATCGACGTTATTGGCCTCCGGGAGCTATCCTATAGTCCTCCAATGTGACTGCTCTGGACAGTACTTTCAACTCCGATGCACTAGCCACATACACAGGAAAAGCCCTGGGAACTTTTGAATTTCATTTCCTGTTCAGTCAGCGTGGCGAGCTCAGCAGCACAGGTGACCATGCAGTCCCCCCAGAATCACAAACGAGCTCCCGGATGGAGCGAATGGGAGACACTGGATCTGATTGCTGTATGGGGAGAAGAATCTGTGGAGGCAGAACTCCGATCAAAAAGAATAAATGCTAATATATATGCCAAAATCACACAGGGCATGATGGACAGAGGCTACAACAGGGACACACAGCAGTGTTGCGTGAAAGTCAAGAAGCTCAGGCAAGCCTACCAAAAGACAAAGGAGGCAAATGGCCA